CCTCTTGATTTTTAAAATGTCGTTTTAAAAAAATTTAAACTAAAAATTTTTTTTTTTTTTTACTTTTCTATCTCTTACTTGTGGGAAGATAAAAATTCATTGACCCGTTAAATTTAATTTTTATTTCTTTTAGCTCCCTCCCCCTCCTCCCCAACCCCCCCGCAAAAAAAAATTATAAATAAAATCGAATTCGAAAAAATACAGATATATACGTTAAATATGACGCACGAATTTAAATTGTTTATGTTTAACTTATGAAACGTTATGCGACGTTGCGTTGTCGACAAGTCATAGAGTAAATAAAATTTTTTTTTTTGATAAAAAAAAAAACGTTCGAATAATATTTTTCCGTTAAATTTTTTTTTTTTTAGTAAAAATTTCGTGAATTAGGATTATCGAAAATCCGTTTATGAAATTTAAAAAAAAAAAAAAGAAAGAATTTTAAACAAATAAAACGGGGGGCGGGGGGAGGGGGAGACGAAAGGGGAGAGGCCAATATAAAATCAATTATATTTAATAATAATAATAATAATCCGATTTATTTTTTAACTTTTATTTGTTAATAACGGTTCGTCGCTTTTTCATTTCGAAATTGAGTATTCAATATTAAATAATAATAATAATAATAATTTTATTATTATTCTTTCACGTCACGTGATCTTTGAATCGGAAAATCTTTTTTATTGTTATTTATCGATTAGAAATTGAAACCGTTTCCGGTTTTTTTTTTGGCGAATCCGTTTATTGTTAACGGTTATTTATTAAATTAATTTGAACGTATGTAAATTTTCTATTTAAATAACTCGAAGCGTTAAAAATAATAATAATAATAATAATAATAATAATAATTATAATAATAATTATAATAATAAAATTAATAAATTTAAATAAAATTCACGAATTCGAACCCGAGAAAAATTTAGAAAAAAAATTTTTTTTTTCTTTATTTAATAATATACGTTAGAAATTTATTTTATAAATTTCGTTTAAAATTTAAATTAAACTATTTTATAATAATAATTTATCAACGGTCAAAAACTTTACTAAAATTTAATCGTCAAAAATAAAAAAAAAATAAAAAATAAAATAATCTTACCTTTTAATTTGTAGAATTTTCGTAACGATTTCTTCTTATTAACAAACTAACACCTGAAACAAAACAAAACGAAAAAACGTTAAATTAAATTTTGTCGTGTCATTAGAAATTTTTTTACTTTATGTCTTTTATTAAGTTCGTTACGTGATGACGTATACATATATAATGGAGGGAATGGAGGGAAAAAGGAAATTTTTTTAGATAACGTTTAAAATAAAATAAAATAAAAAAAACAAAAACGTATTTGTGGATTTCTGTAAAGTTTGATAAAATAAACGAATTTGAAAAGATAAAGAGAGAGAGTGAGAGAGAGAGAGATAGAAATAATAATAAATTAAATTTTAAATATGAAAATTATTTCCATATGAATATATTTTTTTTTTTAATTAATTAATTATACCGCGAAATTTAAATTAATTTAAAATAAGAAAAAAACCGTTACGTTCTTAATTTCATTATATAACGGACGACATATGTAAATCACATAAACGATTTAAATTTGAACAACCTACGCCTCCAAGGTTATTTTTCACATATTTAGTTGTTTTATTTCGAAATAAAATTAATTAAATTAGTCATTGATCTATATATATATATATATATATATATATATATCCCAATAATTTGTAGGGGGAGGGAGGGAGAGGGGGGCGTTTAATAAATTTATATAATAGGAGGTGGGTCAATGATTCATTTAAACGTTTCCCTTCCATTTTTTATACAATTATAAGTACAAAAACAAAATAAACGTTTTTAAATTTTTTATATATATACATATTCAATATATTATATTGATTCACTTATAAATAAATAATTTTTTTATTTTAATGGATAATAACTAATATATTATATATATATATATATATATATTTATATATATCAAAGCTTTATCGTTAAAGCCCTCGAAGGGACTATTACATAATTATTATTATTATTAATTAACATGCTTTGGCATTTATTCGTTTTTTAAATATATATATATAAACCAATCGATAATCGAATTATTATTATTATTATTATTATTATCATTATTAATTTCATACTTGTGGTTTAAAAGTTTTAAAATGATTAAAATTCAAACGCTACTACTCACATACGTGGTAGTAGTAGTAAAATTCAAAATGGCGACGTGACAACAAAACAAAAAGTATACGCAAAACACTTGTATTTAAAATGCGAGAGAGAGAGAGAGGGGGGGGAGGGGGGGGGGTAAATAAATTATCGTAACGAACCGCCTAACGTATGTTAAAAACAAATCTCCTGACAAAAACAAAATTTTATTTTAAAAAAAAAAAAAATTCTAACACTTATACACGCGTGAAAGATGAAATACGTAATCTAAGCATAGAAAATTGATGATAATAATAATAATGATAATGATAATAATTAAACCATAAGCACCGCCTCACTAATATTGAAAATATATCATTTTAAATTATGATAATACTATTAGTCATTCATTCATTCATTCATTCATTATTCCTTTCTTTTCGGTTAAACATGTTTTTTTTTCCCCCTTTTTTTCCTTTGTTTCTTTTTTCTCCATTAATTCCTTATCATTTGTTTTACCATTTAATAAAAAAAAAAAAAAAAAAAAAATAAGCACTTGAATGATATTTTTTTAAAAAAAAAAAAAAAAAAAAAAAAAAA